AGTGCGATTGGCACAGGACAGAGCGGAGTTTAGGGCTGTTGTACATAGGGTCGCTATGAGTCGCAGGCGACTCGACAACACATAACAACAACAACCAAAAGAATTGTGCTTTAAATCTGAGAGAACATCCATCAACAGTCCTGTGGAGCACAGGTTCCCTATGACATTTAGAGGATTGTCTGCTAAGATAGTACCACTTGATGGTTGCTGGTGATAAAAGGACAAATGGTGAGTCCCATCACTAGATTTCTTTAATGATACATTCAAAACATTAAAGTGATCCTGAACCAAGTCATGATGTTTTCAATTGCTTCCTGTGAATCTGAAATTTGCACAATGAATAAGACAGACCAGAAAGGAGTCAATGCCTTTGAACTGTGATTTTGGCAAAGAGTGTGGAATATTCCATGAATAGCCAAAAGAACAAACAAATCTGTCCTGGAGGAAGTGAAATCGGGTTGCTCCTTAGAGACAAAGAAGGCAAAACTTCATCTCATATACTTTAGGAATGCTGTTCGGAGGGGCTATTATTGTTATGTCCTGTCAAGTTAGAACCAACTCATAACTGACTCTCTAGACAGTTTTCACAGGCAAATTGCACAGGAAGAGATGGACCATCTTTCTCTCCTGGAGCAGCTGGTGGGTGTGAACCTCATGCCTTTGAATTTGTGGCATTATTCGTTATCACTAAAGTATCAGAACTCCAGAAAGGGCTAGTCTTTGGGGAAATATATCATGCTTGGAAAGGAAGAGAGTCAGAGAAAGAGAGGAAACCCCTCTATGAGGGAGATTGACACAGTAATTGCAACAAGGGCCTTGAGAATAACAGATATTATGATGATGGGACAAAATAGGACAAAGTTCAGATCTGTGGTCAGAGGATTTCTGTGAGTTGTAGTTGACTTGATGGTATCTGTTGTTGTTAAATATTGTCCAATCAAGTATGATCATAGTGACCTTATGAACAAGGGATCTGAACTATGTCCTATCTTGTCCCTGACACATTTGAGTCTACCGCATAGACACTATCAATCCATATTGTTGAGAGTCTTCTCCTTTGCTGACCCTCCACCTTTACAAGCATGGTGTCTTTTTCCAAGGAAAAGCCTCTCCTAATAACATGTCCAAAGTAAGGAAAACGAAGCTTCACCATCTTTGCCTCCAAGGAGAACAAATTAAAAAAATTGACATAAGAATCAACTGCCTCTGGCCTATCAACACCACCTATAATTTCTGTCTCTTTGAGTGTGGTCACGAACAAGCCGAGAACTTTCCATCCTGATGAAGGCAATTAGTGAACTTGCTAGAGTCTCTGGAGAGTGTAATAGCAATTATTTTGTAAAAGTACTAAAACCATCACTATCCTAATATATTTTGTTCTCACCTGAGCCAGCTTCTGCCTGTTCTTCAGTGCTGTTCTGTGCACAGAGCAGCACTGGGTCAGTAGACTGAGCAATGAAAGCTCATACTGTGGTGGACTTGGTGATGAGTCCCCAGTTGCTCAGCAGGAGTGAACTCTCCTAGCTGCTGGAAACATTTTCTTTTCTCAGGACAACCCAACATTTCTACTTAAGGACACAGTCTTTTCTTAGCATAATTAGCATCTAAGAGATAATTGGTAAGTAGTGGTCCAGCGGTAGAATTCTTACCTTCCATGCAGAAGACTCAAGTTTGATTCCAAGCTAATGCACCTCACCTGTAGCCCCCACTTAGTATTGGAGACTTGTGTGCTGCTATCATGCTTAACTGATGTCAGTGAGACTTCAGACTAAAATGGACTAGGAAGAATGTTTGCTGATCTACTTCTGGAAGTCAGCCAAGGAAAACCCAGTGGATCACAATAGAACTGTGGACCTGCACCTGATGATGGGAATTGCAGTGTTTTGTTCTGTTGTATACGGAGCCACCATCAATAGGGGATGAGCTCTATAGAAGCTAAAAAAAAAGTCAAGGTGTCAGAGAGATGATTTCCTTACAGAAACTTTGAGAGGAAATCTACTTCTTTGTTATTTCCAGCTTTAGAGGAAATGTTATATACCATGGAACTGGAAGAAACTCTTAACTGACCCTGCAGCAGATTCCAGGGGCTGTATAGTCACACAGGACGAGATTGCCTATCTTTCTTTCAAGGAAGCAGCTGGCAGATTCAGACTGTGTACTTTCAGATTGACAATACAGCTCCTTACCAATAGGCCACCTATTTTCTTACTAGTTCCATACTCCTTGGCTCATAATCTCTTCTCCCTTCTTTAAAGCCAGTACTATAATATCGCTTTTTAATTGACCTCCACTTCTGTTTTTTTGTCTGTGGTCTCTAAATCTGACAATTCTATCCCTTTCTTATGAGGACCTTGGGCCTTCCCAGATAATTCAGGATAATCTGCCCATCTTAAAATTCTTAATCATCTTCAAAGGGCTTTTATCCATGCCAAGTAACACATCCCTAGGCTCTGGAAATTAGGATGTAAACATAGGTGGGAACCTAACACACCAGTAGACCATGACTAGGAAGGACTTTAGAGAATGAGGGAACTGTATGGTCCACTATCATTTAGCCAATTGCAGATTGATTGCTTGATTTTTTTTTTATTAAGATGGAAGTGCAGGATTCCAGAGAAGTGCCAAGAAATTAATCTGGATTGGGAGGCAGGGAAGTCAGGTCATGCCGAGAATGTGTGATTTATATCTATTTTCTCACATGTACATGAGAACAAGACCTGGGTTTGTTTCTTCTTTGATGTCATCATTGTGTAGCTAAAGTAACTGGCTCAAGGTATGTGTTCCATATATGCATGTGGCATCCACAGCTGCAGCTTTGCTCTGCCTTTTACACCATGATAGCAGAGTGTATTAATCAGAGGACTAAAGAGCCAAGAGACCATCCTGTGTCATCCTAGGCTACTTGGTCTAGGCAATGTGACTGGTTTCCTGCAGCCCACTGGGCAGGGAAAATTTTTTGGGCCACAATGGATGTGGGTACAATTTGGAGACAGGCTTTTTTAAAGAGTTACCTAAAATTGGCAAAAGGATCATGGTTGCAGTGAGGTTAGATGAGACCTTATATTCTTCTTTCTACTGAATATTTCCATAATATAACGTATTAAAATGGTAGAGGAGCAGAAGTGAGATGCCCATTGTTGTTGTCATGTGCTGTCAAGTCAATTAGTACTCATAGTGACCCTGTAAACAACAGATCTTAACCCTCCCCTATTCCATACAATCACCACCGTTTCTGATATACTTGAGTCAACTTTTACAGTCACTTTATAAATCCATCATATCATGTTAAGAGTCTTCCTCTCCTTCGCTGACCTTTCCTAGCCTAATATCCTTTTTCAAGGACTGACAGCTCCTCCTCACACAAACTCAAAGTATGTGAGGGGAAGCTTCACCATCCTTGCCTCCAAGGAGCATCCTGCTTGCATTTGCTTTAATATAGTCTTATTTGTCCTTTGGAAGTCCATAGGGTATTCAGTGATCTTTTCCAGGACCACAACTCAAGGCATCTATTCATCTGTCATTCTTAGTCTTTGTCCAACTTTTAGATGCACAGCAAGAAGGATAATGCTTGTAGCATCATAGAAAGCCAAACAGATACCAGAAGGGGGAGAAAGTAATGTCAATAATTAGATCCAGAACCAAAACCCAATTATTGTTAAGTTGATTACAAATCATGGAGATTCAGCATGTGACATCATAGGATTGTGCTCAAAGGATTTTGAGGGTTGGCTTCTCAATAGTTTTCTAGGTCTTTTTCTGAGATGTACTGGATGAGCTCTCTGAGCCCCTCTGATCTCTCAATTAGCAGCTGAGTACAGAATGGGTTAAAAAGGATGAAGACAAAAAGGTTTACAATGTGTAATATAATGAGAGAACACGTGAGGAGGTGCTTCATAAACTATTATCTCCATCTGCCTGTAAGAGACTTGTTGTTTACAGTTGAGTTGAAATTGGCCCTCAGTTGACTGACTCTTCAGTGGGTTTCCATGGATCAAGTGGTGGTTTTAAATTTTATACCTTGGCTTCGCAGTGCAATTCCTTATTACTAAACCACCAGAGCTCCCTTTGTAGAAAACTATTGTTGTTATACACTGTCGAGTCAGAACTGACCTATACCTGACCCTCCAGTGGGTTTTCAGGGGCCGTTTAATTCATGAGAAGAGATTGTTCATTTTTTTTCTCATGGAGCAGCTGGTGGATTCGAACCACATGCCTTTGGGTTGGCAGTGTAGCTTCTTACCATTAGGCCACCTAAACTCCCTTTATAAGACTATGCTTTCATACAAAGTCTTTCCTTTGGCCTTGTGCCATTTTTCAATCTTTAGTGCCAAAACCAAACTTAATTTCTTTCCCATTAGGATCTTTAGGGCCCACAGAAGTAATTCCTTCTTGATTCAGCTTTCTCTGTAAAGACCTCCATTTAAGGAGTGTGGTTTCCTCTCTCTGCCCCTCCTCAGACCCTGAAGGATGCCAGTGACAATGCACGCAAGGACTTTCACCGTGAAGCCGAGCTGCTGACCAACCTGCAGCATGAGCACATCGTCAAGTTCTATGGTGTCTGTGTGGAGGGAGACCCACTCATTATGGTCTTTGAGTACATGAAGCACGGGGACCTCAACAAGTTCCTCAGGTATGGGACATGTGGAAAGTGGGTGGTGAATAAAACAGGAACCAGGCCCTCAGGGCTGAGGCATCCTGAATGTCAAGATATAGAAATCCTAGGAAGGACAAAGGTCAGAGTCTCCTTCCCTGCAGGCTTTCATGGTCACCATAACAACATATGATTATGTATTATTGTCATGACAGAAGTCTAGAGTGAAGGTTGTACAGGTGGAGTGGACTTCGGGGGAGGGATTGTATAACAACGAAAGAATTTTTCTTTTACTTTTCAAAGAGAAGAGCAAATTGGGGGAGGGGTGGACAGGGAGAAAAGTACAACAATGAATGAATGAAAGTTCTAAGTCTCTGTAAACTTTCATTAAAATTAATTTTAACCCACCCTCCAAAACAAATAAAAAAACCAACAAATGCCATAGGTAAAGGAACAAAAAGTCACAGCATTGTTTATTCTCCTTCCTAAGCTAACTACATTATTTGAATTATTTAGTCTGCATTTATTTTTGACATTCAGAGAAAAACGGCACACAGTGGCCTGGAGGCTATTCATAGTCTTGTCAGGATTGAAGATGGAGTGGATGGCTATTTTTTATTTTTAAGCATAATAACATGGAAGTTAGACTAGTGGGTTATTTTTTTCTCTGAAAGCCTTAAAGAGTTGGTTTTACTCCAACACTTCCATGGGAGAAGAAGGATGAGCAATCTCCTCTCATGCAATTTACTATCTCTGAAAACCCACTGGATGGTCAGCTATGATTCAGTTTCTACTTGGCGACAATAAGTTGAGTTGAAATACTAAGGTGGCATATGCATTTGAGATGGAACTTAGAGGATCTGTAGGAATTTGTTAAGTAGATGCGAGACAAAGAACAGATAGAATTCAGGGTTACAGAAAAATCAAATAACTTAGGAACTAAAGTGTCACAACAAAAAAAATTGGTCAGATGAGAGTGAAAAATTTAAAGTTGACAGCCTATGGGATGCACTGGGGGTAGGGGAAGTGAGGAAGTAGTTAGGGAGAAAGAGAAGATAGAAAGGTGAGCTAGGGTCAATCAGGAGGAGTTCTAGACTGGTATTTCATTCTGTGGGCAAAACCTATTTCTTGGAAACTTTCAAGTGATTTTTCAGACATATGTTATAAAATAATAGCTCGACAAGAATAGAGAAGTGGTCACCAGAAGAGGCAAAAACAGGAGGACCACATGGAAGGTTCTTTACATATACCAGCCTAGAAGAGGGCTTGGGTAGATCAGGGCTGGAGCAGCAAAAATGAAGAGGTAGACAGAAATGGAGAGGCAGAAATGAAGTGTGTTGAAACAGAAAGAACAGGATTCAGCAGAGATGGAACTGAGGACAGTAAAGGATGACTTCATTATAACTTCCATTAAATGTGAACATTTTCATGGATGGTGATATTATTTGTTAGAATTTGGAAACTAAAACGAGAAGCATGTTTAGGAGAGGAAAGTAATTATATTTCTTGCAGGTTAAATTTATGGTTTCTTAAAGGAAAATCTGAAGGAGATATAGGAGAGGCAAGAGCATTAGCTTGGAGCTCAGGAGCTAATAGAACTTGACTATTTTATAGATTTAGGAGGAATGTCATTTACAGATTCAAGAGGTTCATTTATAGGTTCAAGATTCAGAAGGAAAGAGAGTGATTTCTTAGGAAATGAAGAATGAGAGGAAAGGAAGACCAAAATGAGACCCCTGAGGAAAATCCATGTCTAAGAGGTAGGCAGAGGAAGATACACAGGAAGATGAAATAGTGTCCCCAGGGGCAGAAGGATTCAGAGGGGATGGTGTTGTGGTAATCAAAAGCCTGAGTGAGTTTCCAGATAGAAAGGTGGTTAGCATCTTTTGAAGAGTAATACTTTCTTGTAGGTAGAAAAAAAAGTTCAGCATGGATTTGGTGCTTTGGTAAGAAAGAGGCAGCCTGGGATTGGCTAAGGAGGGAGTGGGCAATGAGAAAGTAAAGATATGCATGTTGTTGTTATTGTTGTTAGGTGCCATTGAGTACAACACATAGTGACCCGATAAACAAAAGACCTGAACCTAGATCTGTCTTACACCATCCTCACACTTCCTGACACACAAGAGATCTTCTGCAACAAGTGCTTCAAGTCTTCCTCACTTTCAACAAGTAAGGTTGTATCATTTTCATAACACAGGTTATTGAAGAGTCTCCCTTAGGATGGGCCATATAATTCCTAAATAAAAGAATCTTGAGAACCCTATGAACACTAAACAAAGAAGATAGTTATTGTAGTGTAGTGGTAAAACCCAGATTGGAAGTCAGTTGAAATGAGGAAAATCAGTAACAAATATCATTCAAGAATTGGTACATGGAATGTTCACAGCTTGAGTGTTGGGAAACTGGATCTTGTTAAAAAGGAAATGGAATGCATGGATATTGACATACTAGGCATTAGTGAGATGTGGACCAGCTATGGCCACTTTGAATCAGATAATCATATGAAATACTATGCAGGGAATGAAAAATAGAAGAAGAATGATGTTGTATTCAGAATCAAAAAGTCAACTTCAAATTCTATCCTGAAATGCAATGTTGTGAGCAATAGGATAATATCCATATGCATACAAGGTAGACCTATTAACACACTATTATTCAAATATATGCTCCTGCATCTAGTGCCAAAGAGGAAGAAATTGAGAATTTTTACCAAATTTTGAAGCCTGAAATTGGCCAAGCATGCAGTTATAGTGCATTAATGAGAGTTGGTGAGTGGAAAGCAAAAGTAAGAGACAGTGAAGAAGGAACAGTAGTTGGAAAATATGGGCTTGACGAATAAGCAAAGCACTCCTTAAAAATAGAAAAACGGTAGGAGGCATTTCACTCCCTGACTTAAAATCCTACTACACTGCGGTGGTAGTCAAGACAGCATGGTACTGGTACGATGACAGACACATAGATCAATGGAATAGAATTGAAAACCCGGAAATCAGCCCATCTATTTATGGGCAATTGATTTTTGACAAAGAGATGAAATCAGTTAGGTGGGGAAATGACAGCCTTTTAAACAAATGGTGTTGGCAAAATTGGAAAACTATCTGCAGAAGAATTAAACAAGATCTCCACCTCACTCCATATACAAAAACCAACTCAAGGTGGATCATGGACCTAGGACTAAAACCAAGGACTGTAAACTTCATTCAAGAAAAGCTTGGAAAAACTTTAGTAGTCCTAATCCACAACATAAAGAGTCTTCCCAGTATTCTGAAAAATTTACAACCAGGAGAAGATAAAATAGATGAATGGGACCTTCTAAGAATCAAATCCCTATGCACATCCAGAAACTTCTCTAACAGGGTAAAAAGGGAAGCCACAGACTGGGAAAAAGTTTTTGGTAATGACATGTCAGACAAGGGACTTATATCTAGAATTTATAAAATACTCGAGCACCACAACAAGATAAAGGAGAATAATCCAATTGAAAAATGGACACAGGATATGAACAGACACTTCACCAAGGAAGACATTCAGATGGCCAACAAGCACATGAAGAAATGTTCAAATCCCTAGCCTTGAGAGAGATGCAAATCAAGACAACCATGAGATATCATCTCACTCCAGTAAGACTAGCAAAATTTAACAGAACAGCAAGCAACAAATGCTGGCGAGGTTGTGGAGAGACTGGAACCCTTATTCACTGTTGGTCGGAGTGTAAAATGGTGCAACCACTGTGGAAAGCATTGTGGCGCTTCCTCAAAAAGTTGCAAATAAAGATACCATTTGACCCAGCAATTCTACTACTAGGAATATACCCTAAAGAGATCATAAATGACATCCAAGTAGATATATGTATACCCATGTTTATTGCGGCTTTGTTTACAATAGCAAGGAGTTGGAAACAACCTAAATGCCCATCAACAAACGAATGGGTAGAGAAGCTGTGGTATATTCGCACAATGGAATACTATGCTGCATTGAAGAACAAGGAACTCATGCAATATTATTCAAAATGGGTGACCCTGGAGGACATTATGCTGAGTGAGGTATCTCAGTCACAATGGGACAAATGCTATATGGTGCCACTGTTGTAGAATGAGGCTGGCATTAGGGTGGGGTAAGACTGAGAAAAACTGGATGAAATATGTTTACGGCATTGAAGTCTATGGGGGAGAGAATAGTCTAAAAGTATTATATTTTAGGGCATTATTTTTATCGTAGGAGTACGCAACGAGGGTTGCAGAGTGGATTATATTTGGGGGTAGGGGGTATTGTGTACCAATGAGGGAGTTTTTCTTTTGCTTTTCAAGGAGAGGAGCAAACGGGGCGTGGGGGAGGGGGAGGGGTTTGTGTGGGGAGAAGGGTGCAACAATGAATGAATGGAATTCCAAAATCTCTGTAGATGTTCATGGAAATGAAAAATAAACAAACTAAATTTAAAAAAAAAATATGGGCTTGGTGATAGAAAAGAAGCTGAATTTTGACTGAATTTTGTATTTGCAATGCTTTATTTATTGCAAATACTTTTTCTAAAAGACACAAAAGATGACATTACATGTGGATTTGTTGAAGCTCAATATCAGCAGTCTTAACTAGGCCAGGGGCTGACTGTGGGTCAGATTATCAGTTACTCATATGTGAGTTCAAATTGAGGTCGAAGAAAATGAAATTAAGTCTACAGGAATCAAGAAATGATCTTGAATCAATTCCATTGGAATACCATAATCATCTAAAGAATAAGTTTGAGGCATTGAAACCAATGATAAAGGACCAGATGAATTGTGGGATGGTATCAAGGATATCATCCATGAAGAAAGCAAAAGGAGATCGGCACATAGACAATTTATTCAACAATTTGGGCACAAAAAAGGAGATAGTAAATACTTCGGTGGATTCAGGTTCAAGAATAGGTCTTTATTTTAGGATGAAGAATTCAATTGTTTGAGGACATGGAAAAGATTCAGGGGTTAGATCTTAGCTGAAACTTTCTTGAAGGGTCAAGATCACAGATGAAGACTTTAATTTTTTAAAGGAAGCGCTAG